ACCGAGTTGATATCGCAGTTCGTCAGTACTTGATTTTTTTCTTCTACCCCTCGGGCTTCGTCCTTGTTACCTAATATAGGTTCTTCCAACGCCCGGATCTCCGTAGCAAAACAAAACTGAATTACCGGGCCTACCTCCCCCACTACCAGTGCACCAGCTTCTGGATTCCCCGGTTAGTAAGAGCCATTCCCCCACACCCTCGACTCGACGCTCTTGGATGTCCCTATGCTGCAACTTCGGATCTAGTGGAGAGAGCCATGCTAGAATATCAGATCGGTCACCGGCAGCAGTATTCGACAGGTTAATAGTGTTGAAAGAGCTGGTATTATTACTGAGCGATTGAGGCATTACCTGTTTTTTTTTCTGCGTGGGGTACTGCAGATGATGGGTGATGAAGTCTGTCGACCACTGAAACCCCTAGGGGCTGGGGAAAATTGGAACTTTTTGTGGAACCTCATTGCTGCCTAAGACCGTCCAACAAGCCCCCCCCCAAATTTGCCCCCAACATGCTCCTACCCACCATATCGATATCAGCAAGCGCTACAACTCCCGAAGTGCTATCCTCCAGTGCGAGCGCCCTATCGCGCCCGAAGTGGAATCGACTTGCCTCTTATCCATTCAGGTATAGTCCATCAAGCCGTATGAATAAATCAGTCGAAAACCTTACATATCACCTAACCGAAAGCATCACAGTATAGCCCTTCGTGGTGTCAACAGAGGCAGGAAAACTCTTCCCGAAACATTGATAGTAATTCAAAGGAACGTGCAAAAAAAGAAAGTTTGACCTCACCATACTCATACCCCAATCTGTCCATGTGCACTGCTACACCTGAGCGCTATTCTCTCTAAGTAGTTGACTCAGTTACCCCCACTCGTTCCCCCATTGTCTTAGATGCCGTCACAGACCATCACTCGTCGAAGATTAGGCGTAGCACTGCAAGCTTTGTTGGAAATGGTAATGATAAAAATGGGGTTTTTCACAAAGATGAGCGTGAGAGAGGAGAGGTCTCTTTCAATTGAGTAGTTAAGCTGAGATTAGAAGTAAAGGTACAGAAGAAGAAAAATACATAGGAGGAAAGAAATTACATGCAGGCATTGCGAGCTGACGTATGCACCCACTTGTGTCGAGTATCTCCAACAAGCCCGACAGCGTATTATACGACACGATAGAGCACAATATTATACAGTACGGCAACTCACCGCAACCCTACCAACCGGACTAGCATAAAAAAGCAACTTTAGATCTCAACGGAAGTATTAAGGGAAGAGGAGGGTTCACAAATGGAGTAGTATGATACAGAGGTGGGAATGGAACCCCAATCCAGGGTGTTAAATACACAACTAACCCCCGGCATTGCTGATAAGAATATACTTGATCCAACTTGGCCCCTCCATAGTAGCGCTCTCCTGCTGGCAAAGCCTCACCTTTGGGCACTTGTCTGCAACCTTCTAATCTCTGCAGGCCGGCCAACAATTTCCAAAAAAACTTGACCTATTAGAACTTTCTACTGGACGAATTCGTGAAGTAAAAGACACCATTACCCAGCACCAACCCCTATTGTGCGATATACTGTCTTCTGGCATTGCCCCTATAATTTACGGGACCAGACAAGTCGCTCACAAGACTGCAACGTGCCGTATCACGGGAAGAGTAATGTCCCAGGATATGTCAAAGCTTCTCCTGCCCAGACGGGGAGCTTATTGGTCAGTGGCGCCCTACCCGAGCATCAACTCCAACAAACCAGAAAGTGGTGGCCAAACACCACTATTCGGTGCTGTCCACAGTGGAGTGGACACAAGGGAGTGGTAAAAATACTACTCGAACGGGACGACGTGAACCCCGACAAGCCTGACGAATTGGGCAGGACGCCACTCTGGTGGGCTGCTAACCGCGGCCATGTTGGAGTGCAGGCGCTACTACAGTCCGCAGCACAGTGAAGTGGTGTTTGTCCCTCTTTATCCAGCCCGTTGGGGTTGACGTTGTCCTGTTCGAGTAGCATTTTCACCACTCCCTCGTGTCTGACCTCTGCAGCATAACAGAGCTGTGTCCGGCCGCAACCGTTTGGTATATCGGGGTCAATGTCGTCCTGTCCGGGGAGCATTTTCACAAATCCTTCGTGGCCACCCCCAGCGGCACAACAGAGTGGTGTATAGCCATACATATCTAGTCTGTCAGGGCTGATGTCGAGCTATCAATCACCAATGAGCTAATACCACAGTTCGTCGGTGCTTAAATATTTTTCTTCTATTCCCCGAGGTTCGTCCTTGTTATCATACCTAATATAGGTTTTGCCAACCCCCGGATCTGCATAGCAAATGAAACTACATTATCAGATTGGTCCCCATTCCCGGCCTACCAGCTTCTGAATTCCCCGGTCTGTAAGAGCCATCCCCCCACATTTTCGACTCGGCTGTCTTGGATGTCCCTATGCCGCAACTTGGGATCTAGTGGAGATAACCAGGTTAGGATATTAGATTGGTCATGGGCAGCAGCATTAGACATGTTAATAGTGTTGACAGAGTTGATATTATTACCGAGTGATTGAGACATTATCGGTTTTTTGCTGCGTACAGTAGGGCACTATAGATGGTGGATGATGAATTCCGCCAATAACTGAAATTCCTGGGGACTCAAGAAAGAGGCGAGGCTCCGTGGAACCTCATTGCCGCCTAAGGCCGTACGACAAGTCTCCCCCAAATTTACCCCCCCCATCACGAATTGCTTGTGCCTACTGCGTCGGCGCCGGCGTACCGCATGCCACAACTCTTTAAGTGCTACCCCCCGATGCGAGCACCCACAGTGAAATAAACTAGTTTGGCACACGATATGATATATACGCAAGCACAGTACATCAAGCGCTCCTCACGAACCAATCGAAAATTTCTCACACATACCACCCAATCCAACGCATAACATCTAGTTCTCCTTGATGCCGATACAGCCGAAAAGCAGCTCCTCCCAGCCTCCCGTGAAGATGGGAAGCGCGCTCCTTGGCGGCTAACCCAACCCAAGCATGACACTCGTAGTACAGTATCATAACTCAAAGACCCGTTGAGCACACCGATGAACCCAGTCCCATAAATGCCTTGCACAATCCAGGACCCCTGCTTGTACGGCACACTACCCAACCAAGACGGCAGAGCACGATATTTACCCGGTGAACTCTGAGAGAAAAAATAAACGCAACATACCGGTAGACGACACTCTTACTTAGCCTTGTGCACCCAAACATAATAAATCGAGTTACCATTATCAGCACAGAATCTTTACCAGTCCGTTATACCTGAGGGCCATTAGATACCTCCAAAGTAGGTAACTTAATTATCCCCTCCCATTCCTCTATTGTCTTGAGTACCATCACATACCATCACTCGCCAAGCTTGCTTGCGCATCGTACGATATGATAGAAACACAACACGATAAAACCTATGATACAGCACCGCAACTCACCACGAATTCGCCAGACACCGCTATCCAGGCTGGTATCATACCATGCGAAGAATCACACCACACACACCCAACAGAGATATAAATTATAGATGTAGACAAAGAAGTGGACTTAACTTACACACGATATCACTCACAAACGAGGAAAGAAAAAAAAGAGAGCCCAAATCCAGCTTTCCAACCTTTAACGCACTATTGTTATCAACCCCGCCATTACGGATACAATCCCCCCACAATCTCCGCAGACAAGACGGGCAAATCTAAAGAAAAACCGTCGGCTACGACATGATAATATTATCATAAATATCATACAAGGAAAAAGTCAATTAATCAGCAACATCCTACACTTACACGACAAAGCGACAACCATTAGTCTGAGTTAGTCCACGAGTAGACTACCCTGCGTCAATCTTTTACATCGCCACACCTTTCTACTATTACAAACTGCACGTTTCGGGCGTAGGTTGGCCCCACGATTAGCGCCAGTCGCTCACAATGATACTCAAGTACCATGATATGATCCAGTAACATACCTCTCACAGCGGGCGGGAAAGCCCCCACCCAGACACCCGCAAGAACCTCGTGATCCGCCGCCAGATCGACTAATTAGGTTAATTGATTAATTAATTAACCGCTATCACCGCATCAGCCCACGACGGGTCCACCTCCCGACGAGAGCCACCACCGCGATTGGCAAAAATGCGAAACGAGCCGATAAGATCCACCGCTTCCAAGCACTCGGAGCTACACCCTAAGTTACCCCATTTCTCTCCAAATCCGGGAGGCAAGTAATCGCACGATGATCTCTCTGCTCGAGTGATCGCTGATTATTGGTACTGAGCCTCGGCCGCTCGTGTGATATACCATGCCGTGCGGTGGGGGCTGGCCGGTGGGGGGGAGGGGCGGTGGCGGCGGGAAAAAAAGAAAGAAAAAATCCGGGTTTTTACGGCACGGAGGTGGTTCTCTCTCTCCCCGCGATTGCAATAATTACTACCCGATTCCGAGTTGAAGTTTGGCAATTGTATGATACCCCACCAGCGAACGACAAATCCAAGCCCTCCAAATACCCATCTTACTACTGTACATACTACCACCATCCATCATACCAACCGTCCAAATAAACAAAAAATAACCCATCAACCTGTACAGCACGACTACGCTAAAGCGTTCTACGTGCGATAATACAGCAGAACACCAATTTGCTATAGCATGTACTGCACAAAAGTTGTAGCTCCTCCCACCCTCCCCCCGCACGCGTACAGACGGGAAGGGAGGCAAGAGGGGTTTTGTTGCGCTCACGGCCTCGGCTGGCCTAGAGAGTTGGTGGGATGGACGAACGCGCTACGATTCGCGGGCGGCCGAGTTATCATAACTCACATAGTTGAACAAGACCTAGCACGGTACGGTTGGTATGAACGGAGACCCTAGGAGGGATCACACACCAGCACTCGCCTCGACTCTTCTACAGCACTACGCCATGGCTATCGTTTCCTCCTTCCCTCCACCCCCTCATTCTCACTCGCAATCACTCACAACACACCACCCTAACTCTCAAAGGAAAAAAAAAATCCCTAAATTCTACGTGCCAATCTAGCCACCCACCGGCCCATTCACCCAAGCAGATAGCGCCACCAAAAGCGGGGGGGGGAACAATGGAACAAATGGAAAAACCAGAGTAACATACATCTATCCACCCACCAACAGTTCACCCATTATTCAACTCATGGAGTATTAATACCTCTGCCACTTACTTCGCGAGAGGGAAAAAAAAGTGCCTAAACATGAGATGAGAAGGAAGCAATAATAAAAGACCTGTACCAAATGCACCCCCAAAGAAAGGAAACAGCTTTTTCCAAGAAAAAGGAAACAAAATGAAGAGGAAAAAAATACAATTATTCCAGATCGCCATGCGCACACAGGAAAGACAAGATAAGACATATGCCACCATAGTCACGTGAGAGAGAAAAGTACATATCGCCAAACAAACTACCAACTCAACAAGGACGACCGATAAATAAGTGAAGGTGATGGGAAAAGAAACGAATGAGAAAAGCCGAGAATGCCTACCACCAATAGTAGAATTAGGCGATGGCGTGTATCTCTCCAATCACCCCAATCCCCCCCATGCGATGAATGAATCCTAATCCTCAACGCCATCTGTCCCCGCCTCCCCATCCTCCTCCATTTCCTGGGTATCATCATCCTCATCATTATAAAACGCGAGGGGGTTCCCACCAGCGGTGTTGGCCGTAGCGGAGTTAGCGGCTTGTTGGGCGCTTAGGTACCGACGGAGTTTATCTACTCCGCTGCCACTAAAGACGCAAAAGACTTCACGTTGGTGTTCATTAAATTCTGTTAAAGTCAGCACTGAGAGTCGGTGTTTTTGTTTTTTTTTTTTTTAAAAAAAAAGGGGGGCGACATACCCTCAGGCGGAGGCCTACAGAATTGGGTGAAATCCTTCCTACTGTAAAAGACGTCGACACCAGTCAAACTGAGATGGGTAAGGCGCTCGCAACTCTTGATCAAGTCATGGATGCCCTAGAGGATAATAGCCATCAGTTGATCCGTTCCCCGACATGACGCGCGCAAGGAAACAAGAGACCCACATTAACAGTAAGATTGGTACAATACGACAAGTGAACCCTCTCAAGAGGACACGGTAAGTCATTTGTCCGACGGACCAAAGTCTGGATAGCATAATCCGTAATCTGATGGCATTTGACCAGCCCAATCCTCCTCAACTTTGGCAGCCCGGCAAGATAACACACAGCCTGGTCAGTAAGTAGTGTGCAGCAGGCCAGATCGATATACCGGATCCTATTGCAATAACGTACGAGTGCCTGCACGGCGCGATCCGTAAGGTGTTGGCAGTGACCAAGGTGCAAGTAGTGCAAATTCTTCCCCAATTTTGTAATGCTATGGGTCACAGCCCTATCGGTAATATTCTCGCACTTTGCCAAAATAAGATTGCGGAGCCTGGGCGCGATGCCGACAATCTTACCCACGCTTTGGTCTGTAAGTAGCCTACAGCCTGTAAGATCCAAGATGCGCAGTAATTCGTACGTCCTATTTGGAAGCTTGAGGAATGCGTCGTCGGTAAGGAGGTCGCAATAAGCCAAGCGGAGCTCCCGAAGCTGGCGGAGTTGATTGAACATATGAAGAACCGACTCATCCGTGATATTGTGACACTTGTGCAGGTCCACCTCCAGAAGCTGAGGACAGTTCTCAGCCAACGAAATGACTGTAGAGTTAGTCAAAAGGTTACAATCGTTAAGCTTAAGCTGTTCCCCCCAAAATCCCCATGTCAGCCAAAAAGAAAAAGAGAAAGAAAAGAAACACAGGATGAGGGTGGGATTATACTCTACGTAGAAATTTACAGTTCTCAGACAACGGAACCATAGAAGCATCAGTAATACGCTTACACCCAGCAACATTCAACCCTTGAAGCCTCGGACAGTTCTGAGCGACCACATTAATCGACAAGTCCGAGATATTATAAAGCTGCGACATATCCAGCGCCTGAATGCGCGGGTTACCCGCCAATATCTCCACGAGCGGGGAATCCGTCAAGTTGACGCAGTTGGTGAGAGTCAGGCGTTCCAACTTTGTGCACAGCCCCAGCGGCTTCATGCTCCCATCGTTAGCCTTTGCCGAGATGGGGGTCAAGTTGAGCCTCTTGATCAACTGAGAGTACTTGTAGAAGGCATTCTCATCCTGGATGGCAGCGACCATAGCCTCATATTTCGTGAATTCCCCGAAATGCGGACGGTGCCAGAGCAGCTCTACGCTGCAGTCGGCCCACTGCCGGGACACCAGCATGCAAGTCTTCAAGACCACCAGGGAGGTGATCTTGGAGAATATGGCGATCAGGAGCTCAGGAGGAAGCCTATTAACCGGTGAAAGGGGTTGTTGCTGTTGTTGATGGGGATGCGGCTTGCGGAGGGAGGCCATCTTCTCGATAGGAGATACGGTCATGTTGCGGAAGTCCGTTAGCTCGGCTATCGAAGAGTGACTATCGTCTGGGTTAGATAAAAAACAGTCAGGGCCCGCGTCGTTAGTGAAGCGCTCAGGGCTACTGCTGGATGAACTGTTGGAGGTGGAGTTCTGGTCGACGATAACATAACCGGCGTCGAGGGGAACCGGAGCTATCGATAGAGGCATGGACTTGCGAGCCATTGCGAACAATGTTGGCAGGGGGTAATCAAGAGCACGGTAGGGTGCAGCCGTATTATTAAGAAGTTGGAATGTTCTCGCTTGGGGTTAGCCGGCCAGGACACGGAGGGTAGTGGTAGCGATGGTAATAGCGATAGCAGCGGTAGTGTGGGACTCTGTAGGCTGAGGTAAGAGGAAGAAGGAGAGGAAGGGATGGCGGTGGTCTAAACAACAAGACGGCACCACCACTCAGGAGGAGAAGGGGTTAGGGTTGGGAGTGGTGGAGGGGGGGGGTCGTGCTCTGGAAAGGGGGGAAGGAGAGAAAGGGAGTTTCGGAGCGATGAGGGGTTGGTATCGTAACGTTGGTTATTTTTTTTTTGTTTTTTTCTGTAAGCTAGTATATGTGTAGCGGGGTTAAAAAGAACGAAAGGGTTTCAAATCTAAAAAGAATTAGATGTAGTTTTGTTATCCGTTGTTGTTCAAGAGAGGGATGGGGAAGTTAGAGAGCGAGTTTCCGGCGGTTGAAGCGAAGAGAGAGAAGAGGGAAGGAGGGGGGAGGGAGAGAGAGAGAGAGAGAAACGGTACGGCAGTGATGGATAGAAAGAAGGGGAACTTTGCATCCCGAGCGCAAGATCCGAAGAAACCTGAGAGAAAGGAGAAGAGGCTGGGAGTTGACTTAGAAGACAACAAAAGTCAAGGGGTTAAGCGCAGAGAAGAGAGGATTGGGCGGCTGAGCCCTAAGAATAACAGAAAAGAAAAAAAATCCGCCTCCCCTCACTACGAGTACCAACCATATCACAATCTCTCGGTATGTTACAGAAAGCTCTCCCATCCTCCATCCGCAGAGGCTCAAATAAAACCTAGCAGCGATCTCACTGCCCAAACTACTTCTACCATCCATCCGCCGATACAGCCCTGCCCGAATGAAAAGCGGAAGGAAGAGGAAAAAGAGAGGTGGATGAAGCGAGAGGAATTGTTTTGTCCCTTTCTCGGCGGTTGGCGGTTATGGCTGTGCACCAGATCATAATTGCCGGTATGTTCACGCGCATGCCTATCCTCGCTAGTCCGCCAGGCAGACTCTCTTCATTCAGCCTTTGTTACAACTGATCCTCCCACCCTTCTTCGGCAAGGGCACATCAGCACGGCACCGGCATCTGACATAAGTCTCCGACGGCTAACTTTGGCTCAAGTTAGGTCGGATAAGATTATGTCCATTATGACGAAATACATAGCAGAGAATACAGGGTACTGCACCGGTACTGTACTCGAGTACTGGTATCATACCGCGTCCAGCTCTCATGGTACTCAAACACATCAAGCCCACTACCGCCCAACGCCCCCACTCCGAGCCAAACCCTTACCGCCCACCCAGAGAGCGGCTCACTACTCGAGTACTTCCATGTCATATAATGCATACACACAAGTTTCATACATACATATCATATCATAAACACGACAAACCTCCACCCAAAAACCCTCATACGTCACTCATTGCATATATCATACCTCTCTATGCCTCCCTAGATCTATATCGCCGAGTGATCGAGCAAATCAATAGATCAATTGTCAAAAAACCGCCAGGGCGGGGCATGCATAAGAACCACACATTCGTACATATAATACCCGAGTACATACATGCAAGTACTGTACTAGTACATACTCGCAATTTTCTGACGTTTGTAAAAAGGACTGGGTCCGCATATGCCTGCATAGGACAAGATATGCGAGTTAGTCCAATCATTTAAAAAGTAACAACACATAAAATTAGAATTGTGACCCAGATTTCTAGTACCTACAAGTACCCACCCTTTGTAGTGAATTCTGTCTTTCAATCCAGTCAGTTAGTAAAAGCTTTTCTATTATTCAACAGAAAGCAATATCTACCAGTATGTTTGAATAATTTGTTCCATGGGGGCCAACAGCCTCAATAGCGAAACGAGCTCAGATCATTGCCTATTCAGCAATGAGAGGTCACTGTAAGGTCACTTTTGAGCAAATCTCTGTGAAAACTGCGGTTCTGGTTAGCACCTGATCCAATATTATTTAAGAAGCAAAGTGGTGAGCGAATAAGCTCTGAGGGAATTCCAATATTTATACTTCCATTAATCTTGCCCCGAAGACAATTTGCAAGAAGGGATCTACCTCTACTCTGACAGCAGCAGATAAGCAGCACTTGGTGGAGGTTACACAGTCGAATAGTGAGCATTGACATATGACATATGCCTCACTCGCACAAGCCGGTACTATAAGACCTAATTTCTAATTTCTAATTGGTTCTAATTTTGAATACTGTAATTGTTAGTATAATCAATAGATGTAAATAATACTAATGTATATAAATTAATAAAAGCTGGTTTAGATATCAGTGGAAAAACAGTTCAAATGATTCTCACAGAAAACAATATTCACTGTGTAATGATCCCTCCTCGGATAGTTAGTTCTTGGCGACGGGGAACGATACTTCTCTTCTTGTTCTGTTTCTTTCCTTAGTCTTACAATAGCACTAGGCCTCTGCCTATATTACCAATAGTACAAGACCTTTGTCTTCTATCAGGAATGTAACGTGTTTGCAAGGTGCTAATCACATTATCGGTAAAGGATACGATAGTTGGCAGGTGGCCTGCTCTTCCGGAGAGGAGGCGAGAGCTGAGAACTAAAGGAGGCTTTGAGGGTGTACTGAGGAACAAAGAAGTAACCGTTCAACCAAGTATATTAAAATACTGTCTGTTGAAGTCTGCCTTTTCTATCGTAGAAACAGGCGGCCTTTAAATACACAAATCTGTTCATGTCTGGCATGAACGAAACTAATTAAAGGTATCAATCGATACACTTTGGTAAAACTCCTTAAGTATCAAAACGATACTTAAAACAAAACATAAAACAAAACCAAGTATCAAACAATACTTAAAACAAACCAAGTATCAAAGCGATACTTAAAACAAAACATAAAACAAAACCAAGTATCAAATAATACTTAAAACAAACCAAGTATCAAAACGATACTTAAAACAAAACATAAAACAAAACCAATAACTGAGTACCCATACCGGTTACATTCCCCAAAACAAAACAACTGTTTAAATAAACAAAACCTAATAATCATCAAAAGCGGAGTCTGAGAAACTAAAGGCTTCAGTTTCCACTAAGAATTCTTCATTGTAAGTGTCATACCAGGGACAAGAGGAAACTCTAAGGAAACACTTAGACTCGAAGAAATGCAAGTCACAGTAGTCACGAATACCAGATTTGAGCTGTACATCAACCCAAGCGTGATCACAATCAGGACAGTAATCTATCCAGAGGATTTCGAAGTAGTCTTCAAGTTGGATAACATCGCGGTTCAACAACAGTCCAACAATCTGTTGTCGCAGCCTCACATTGAGTTCCACATAGTTTGACATTATTATGGTATTTGGATGGTGATTGAGATTAGATAAGGTTGTCGAGAACTTGCTCCATAGCATGATTCTCCTCATCGCTACTTTCGAATTCCGACTCAAAGTATGGTGCCCAAAATCCATCTCTAGTCTCGAGTTCTGCATGCTATCGCTCAGTTTCTGGCATCGTGGGTGTCCAGCACATGGTGATGTAGTTGATCGTTGGGGGGAGGGAACCGTTTGACATATTGTCTTTCCACCATTCGTTCACCATATCCATAGCGTGCTCTAGTCCTTCCAGTGGTTCCCAACTGTTTTCACTCATTAGATATCCTTTCCATTTGACTAGGAACTGATCATTTCCATGCCAAAGGTGGTGATCTCTGATTTCTTCAACTTCTCATTCATCTTTCTTGTCGATGATGATAGGTGCAGGTCGTGAGTGGGTTCTTCCAGGGAACTTGGCATCATCATTTGGGTGGAATCGCTTGACAGCAGAGGTGTGGAAGACCACGGTATTGTGGCGGTACATGCGTCCATCCATCTGGACTGTGTAGTTTTCTGTATGCTCATCAAAAGATAAGACTTTGAAAGGTCCTCACCATCGGGGTTGTAATTTCTTGCTGCGTCCAACATTGGTAATAAACATGTTTCCATGTACCATGAGCATATCACCTGGTGGGATAGGGACATGTTTGCGTTGTCGTTTCTGAGCAGTGGTGGTACTTCGGAATCGGGCAGCTTTAACAGCTTGGAAGGCATCATTCCGAATTGCTTGATGGCAGTTTAAGTAGTCATCGGAGGCGGGGACTGAGGAGTTCTTGAATAGGGTTGTAGGTAGGAGAGGATATTGGTGGCTGAAGATTGACTTGTATGGAGACATTCCCAAGGTGTCTGAAAATCCAGCATTGATATATGCTGCTAGCTCAACAAGGGCTGGTTCCCAGTTGGTTTGTTGTTCATTGATCAAGTTCCTAATTCCGGTCTTAACCTCGCAGATTTTTCGTTCTGCTTGGTCATTAGTCTCATGGTGTCCAGGGGCAGCCATAATGTGGTTTATTCCGAGTGAGGTCAAGGTTTGCTTCCAGAATCTGGCAGTAAAGCGGGGATCAGCATCACTGACAATAGATAAGAGGTACCCATGGGGGGTAAACAGGTATCGTTGGAGGTTATTCCAGGTGTCTTTGGAGGAATCAGTAACTTTCATTAGTATGAGCCACGTATATCCAGAAAATTGATCCACAGCTACCAAGATGGTATCATATCCAGCGGATTTGTTGAATGGTCCTGCGAAATCGATGGCATATGATTCGAATATTTCACATGGTAGTTGGAGGGTCTGTGCTTTTCCTTCAGGTGTGTTTACTCCTTGTTTGCCTGGCAGAGTTCGCATTGTTTGACGAAATCGCAGAAGTCCTTTCGCATTTCAGGCCAGTAAACATATTCTGAGGCATATTGGAGGTTACAATCACCACTATGGTGTCCTTTGTTGTGGATTTCGGTAATAACATATTCCCTAATAGTCATTCTATTGAACATATGGCCTTTTGGGATGTACAGACAATGTTCACCATAACGGGTGCTGGTATAGACCATTCAATTGGATATGTTGTCGGGTGCAAGATCTCCATGCCTGGAGCTATCCATGGCTTTGAAGTAAATTGGGTCACGGCGATATCCTGCTATCATTTGGCTTCGAAAAGAGGAGGTTAATTCTTCTGTGGTTGATCTAACATCCCGTTCATCCTCAATCAGGGATCCTCTTGTTGGTTCGATAGGGGCATCCTCCTCCTCAAAGGTTTCATACAGTTGTCGGCGATGCTCGGGAATAGTAGGGGATATGACCGAGATAATGGTTTCATTATTGTATACTCGTAAGGGTCCACCATATAGTGGTCGTGAATCGATTATGGGAGGAGAGGATGGCGGGGCTGACTGTGGGGGGTGTAAATACGATATTGCATCCACGTAGGCTGCTGCTTGTTCGAGTTCTTCAAGACCTTGGTATCGTGTTAGAACAGGATTAAGGGTATGAGGAGGTTGGGTCGATTCATCTTCATCGATCATCTCTTCTGCTCCTTCTGCGGTGTCGAAGCTGGTGTTTTTGAAATCATCAGCAGGCATATAGTACAGTCGCTGGTATCTGTTGCCGAACTTAATCTCAGTCTGGTGAAAAGGGCAGATGTCGTGATAACAGTGGGACCAGTGGAGTCTGCTTTGTTCAAGCTCATGAGGAGGGGTGCTGCGGAGCGTGCAATTGTCTTT